GTTCTATTCGTGGAACTATAACAGAAAAAAACAAAACAAAACAAAAAACAAGTGGTTTTTTTGTAGAGCAGAACTGGTGAGATCACATTGCAACCTGCACTAGTTGTGTTTACCATGGAACACCATCTTGAGTAAAAGATCTATTGGCTGGGACGGTGGCTCACACCTATAATCCCAGCACTTTCAGAGGCCCAGGTGAGAGGATTGCCTGAGCCCATGGGTTCGATGCCCGCCTGGAAAACTTGGCAAGACCTCATCGCTACTAATTAAAAAAAAAATTAGCCCGGCATGGTGGTGCATGCTAGTAGTTCCAGCTACTTGAAAGGCTGAGGTGGAAGGACCACCTGAGCCCAGCAGGTTGAGGCTGTGGTGGCCATGAGTGTGCCACTGCACTCCAGTCTGGGTATAGAGTGAGACTCTGACTCAAAAAGAAAAAAAAAAAAAAAGATCTATTGACAGGAAAACTGGTTATTCAGACTTAGGTACTTGGCAAACATTTGCATAAAAATAAGTGAAACTGTCAGTTCAAGAAAAATGCCTATTTGTTGTCATCGATATAACTGAACTTGCGAGCAAAAATAATTTTGTAAAAGTTGCATCATCACTTTTTGTGTGTGTGTGTGTGTGTGTGTGTGTGTGTGTGTGTGTGAGAGAGAGAGACAGGGTCTTGCCCAGGCTGGAGTGCAATGGCATGATCGTGGCTTACCACAGCCTAGACCTCCTGAGCTCAGGTGATCCTTCTGCCTCAGCCTTCTGAGCAGTTGGCATGACAAGCAGGTGCCACCATGCCCAGCTAATTTCTTGATTTTTTTTTTTTTTGCGATGTTGCTGAGTCTGGTCTCGAATTCCTGGGCTCAAGAGATCCTCCCACTTCAGCCTTCCAAAGTGCTGGGATTACAGTAAGTCCCCTATATATAAATGAGCTGCATCCTCAGAGTGTTTTCTTTTCTTTTTTTTTTTGAGTTGGAGTCTCACTCTGTTGCCCAGACAGGAGTGCAGTGGCTGCTCCCGGCCACTGCAGCCTCGATCTGCTGGGCTCCGGCGATCCTTCTGTCTCAGCCTTCCAAGTAGCCGGAATTACAGGCATGCGCTACCACGCCCGGCTGATTTTTTTTTTTTTTTAATTTATTGTAGAGATGAGGTTTCGCTGCCCAGGCGGGTCTTGAACCCACGGGCTCAGGCAATCCACTCACCTCAGCCTCCCAAAGGCGTGGGATTACAGGCTGAGCCACCAAGCCCGGCTCAGAGTGTTTTCTTAAGTCCAATTTGTAAGTCCAACAAAGTTAGCCTAGGTACCCAACTAACACAATCAGTTATATAGTACTATACTATAATAGGTTAATAATACTTTTTACACAAATAATACACAAAACACACAAAATAAACATTTTAAATCTTACAATACCTTGAAAAGTACAGTAATACAATATAAAACAGCTGGCATACAGGGGCAGGCATTGCATGAACAGGCAAAAGGAGCAACTATCTAGAGGATGGCACAGTACAGTACTGCAAAGTAAGTGCTGTACAGCAAAGTACATAAAAGTACAACCACTAGTAGAGGATGCACACACGCAACAATGTATGGCAGATATGTGAACTAACTTGTGATTGGACTTGTGAATGCATGTTTGCATCTTTGAAGGTTTGCAACTCGAAGGTTCGTATGTAGGTGACTTACTGTTTAGGCATGAACCACCATGCCTGGCTCATTGCTATGATCTTGACTACTTCCAACTGCTTTAAAATTCTTCTGATGAAATTAGAATATTAACAAATGTGATTTTTTGTTGTTGATAATGTAGGGTAAAACGTCACTATTTGGAAGATATTTTTCTTGCTTTATCACACAGGCTAGAAACCCCAGTACAATGTTGAACAGAAGTGGTGAGAGCAGAAATCCTTGTCTTATTCCTGATCTCAGGGTGAAAGCATTTAGTTCTTCATCATTAAGTGTGATGCTTTTAATAAATGCTATCAAGTTGAAGAAGTTTCCTTGTAATCCTAGGAATGGATATTGGATTTTGCCCAGTGCTTTTGCTGCATCTATTGAGGTGATCATTTTTTTTTTTTTTTTTTTGTATATTGACTAAACCATATTGGTTGATTTATCAATGCTAATTCAACTTTGCATTCCTAGGATAAGCTTCTATTTGGTCATGATATATTATCTTTTTTATATATTGTGGAATAAAAATGGCTAGAATTTTGTTAATTTTTACATATATGTTTATGAGGGATGTCAATCTGTAGTCTACTTGTTTAACATCTAGAATTTGGGTATAAGAGTGATGCTGGTCTCATAGAATGAGCTGGGAAGTATTGGTTCTTCTTCAATTTTCTGGAGGACTTATATGATTTCCTTTAAAATATACCAGGTTAACACTATGCAAAAAAGCTAGAGTGGCTGTAATACTATCAAAGTACACTTCAGAGCAAATGTTATCTGGAAAGAAAAAGACCATTTATAAAGTAGATCATTTCATTACAATAAAACTTTCATAAAGGATAAATTCATCTAAATAACAGGACAATTATAAATGCTTATGCAAGCCGGGCTCAGTGGCTCAGCTTGTAATCCCGTGCCTTTGGGTGGCTGAGGTGAGGGGATTGTCCAAGCCCGTGGGTTCAAGACCCGCCTGGGCAGGCAAGACCTCACCTCTACAATAAAATAAAAAAATTAGCCGGGTGTGGTAGTGTGTGCCTGTAATTCCGGCTACTTGGAAGGCTGAGGCGGAAGGATCGCCGGAGCCCAGCAGGTCGAGGCTGCTGCACTCCAGTCTGGGCAACAGAGTGAGATTCCAACTCAAAAAAAAAAAAAAGAAAAAAAAGAAAAAAAAAATACTTATGCAACTAATAGCAGAGCTTCAAAGTATATGAAGCAAACACTGACATAACTACAAGGAGAAATAAAAAAAATCCACAATTATAGTCAGAGATCTCAATATTCTCTTAATAGACAGAAAATCAGTAAGGACATAAAAGACTGAACACTAATATCAACCAATTTGACACGACTGACATTTGTAGAACACTCCATCCAGTAACTGCAGATACATATTTATTTCAAAAGCACAGTGAACATTTACCAAGATAGATCATACTCTGGGCCACAGAACAGTGTCAATAAGTTTAAAGTAATTTATATTATATATACGAAGTATGTTCTCTGATCACAGTGGGATTAAGCTAGAAATCAATAACAGAAAGATAACCAAGAAAACCCCTCCATGTTTGCAGCTACAAAGAACCCACGGTGAAAAAAGAAATCAATAGGGATTAGAAAATATTTTAAGGAAAAGATACACACAACATATCAAACTATGTGGGATGCAACTAAAGCAGTATGGATGGACACGTCCGCCACCCAATTCCTATAGAACAAAATAAGAGACATCTCGACCTGCTGGGCTCCGGCGATCCTTCCGCCTCAGCCTTCAAGGAGCCGGAACTACATGCGCGTGTGAACACGCCCGGCTGATATTTTGATGTATTGTAGAGATGAGGTCTCACCATGTTGCCCAGGCTGGTCTCGAACCCTCGGCCTCCCAAAGCGCTGGGTTTATAGGTTTGAGCCGCCATCCCTCCTGGTTCTTCTCTGACCTCTCCCCTCGTGTTTTCTTCTCTCCTTCCTCCCCTTTTCCCCCTTCATCTCTCCCCGCTGTTTAGTATTTTCCCTCTTACACCTCCTTTTTCTTATGTTTTCTTTTCTCTTTTTTCCCTGGCTCTCATCTCTCTGGTCCTCCTCCATCACCAGTGTGCTTCTGTCTTCAAAAAGAAAAGAGTTAAAAATTAAAAAATAAGAGCAGAAGAAAGGAAACAATAGTCATAGGAGCAGAAATTCATGAAATAGAAAACAGAATACCATCAGAGTAAATCTGAGCGAGCAAACGCGGCCTTTAAGACCAGAGATCCGTAAAACTGATAAGCCCCATCGCCAGGCCGATCAGGAAAAAAAGACACAAATGACCCACTGCTGGAACAAAGGGGTCAGATTCCGTAGGAATTAAAAGGACAATAAAGGAATGTTGGTAGCTGATTTACGTTAGTAAAGTAAGTAACGTGGCCATTTCCGCCAGCAGCCGAGCCCACTTGGGAGTCTGGGCCGACCCTTGGTCGGTGCACCGGGAGGCGGCAGAAAAAGCATTTTCCTCCCAAAGCAGTTTTCGCGTCCCTGGAGGGAAAACAACAGTTAAAGCGTAGCACTGGTCCGGCAGAGGAGCGTGGGTAAAACTAGGTCAAGAAAAGCTTCTCAGGGACGGTCGCTGCGCGACCCACACACGACCTCTGCAAACGTGCGCTCGGGCTCGGAACCCGCACGCGGCACTCCCGCGGGCGCCCCGCCGCTACCAGCGCCTGGCTCAGGGAACGCACCTCGGCCCAAGCTCGGACACCGGCAGCCCTGCGCCTGCGCGTTCGAGCCAAGCGCGTGCAGAAGAGGTCGAGGTGGCTGCCGGAAGTGTGACCTCTCGCTTCCCGCTGGTGATTCCCATCCGGGTCACGCCGATCTTCCGGGAGTCTCTGACAGGGCTCTCTACGCCGCTTTTTCAGCGACTTTTGGGTCTTCTACTCTTTGCTGTCGTCCCCAACTTACTACACCCTCGCGGTTCCTGCCTTTCCTTGTGTTGCTCCTCCCTTGGCAGCCGCGCCCGGGGTCGAGACTGCTAGCTGCAGCCGGAGCCGAAACTGGGCCTAGCTGTCTCGCGAGCCGCCGCCGCCTTCGTGGCTCGGGGGAAAGCTGTAGCCGAGCCGCCGCCGGGCGGTCCGCGCCCGGGCTTGGAGCTCCTCCCGCTTGGCCTTCCCCCGGGACGTCTGTGAGTTCAGGGTTGCGGACAGACGCGGCCGGGTAGGCCTGGGTCGGGGCTCGGCGCGGGAACTTTCTTCGAACCTGGAGTGTTTGGTTCAGCGGGGGCGGCTCCCCGGCATAGCGCGCCCCGGGCTTTCCAGGACTCCTAGGGCCGCCTGCTGTTCTCACTCGTTTCCCTGCCTCGCGTCCCCCTCTTCCCTCCAGTGCCGAAAAAGGAAGATTGTCTTGGGACCCCTGCATTACAGATGGTGCTGAAGAACTAAGGTAAATATCTGGACTCCTTAAAGTTTCAAGAGTCATTTATCTTTAAGGCTCTTAATTAATGGGCACGAAATCACCTTTCTTCACTTCCTGGAAAAGTGCCAAGGTTAAGACTGTCTAGTAGTTGTGTACTTTTTTCCTGTTTGGCCTTTTGTAAATAGGATCTTCCTCGAAGTGAGAACACGAGGGGCTTATGTGTCTCACAGTTTCTGGATTGTCTAAATTCCTTGTCATGTTTTATTTCTTTAAGCTTTTCCTTTTTTTTTTTTTTTTGGGTTGGAGTCTCACTTTGTCGCCCAGACTGGCTGGAGTGCAGTGGCCACTCCCGGCCACCGCAGCCTCGACCTGTTGGGATCCGGCGATCCTTCCTCCTCAGCCTTCCAAGTAGCCGGAATCACAGGCATGCGCTACCACGCCCGGCTGATTTTTTTTTTGATTTATTGTAGAGATGAGGTCTCACTACCCAGGCGGGTCTCGAACCCGCGGGCTCAGGCAATCCACTCACCTCAGCCTCCCAAAGGCGCGGGATTACAGGCTGAGCCACCGAGCCAGACTAAGCTTTTCCTTTAAAATAGCAGTTATTTACTAGTAGAGTGAACAAAGAAGAAACGAGAAACTGTAAAACTCAAGCTAAATAGTAGATGGGCAGTGTGTGATTTTGTGAGGAAAGAGATTGTAACTGATCACAAGATCTGTGTTTTTATATTCCAGGTAACATACTACTTTTATAAGTATCCTATTGCATGTTTAGAAGCACAAGGCTTCTAACAGCTCCTGGCTAACAGCATAAGGCTGTTTATTACTCTGTACTGATTGATAGCCTGTAATAGTTACATTACTTTGTTGGTGTGAATAGCCCCAGCTATGTCTGATCTGGAAATGTTCCATAACAGATAGACTCCGTGTGAAACAGGCCATTTATTAGTTGTTTAAGAAATGGCTATTTAGAACCATGTGACTGGATTCTTTTAACATTTGGATGGAAGTTAGTTCTCTTTTTTTTTTGAGTTGGAGTCTCTCTCTGTCGCCCAGGCTGGAGGGCAGTGGCACACTCACGGCCACTGCAGCCTCGACCTGCTGGGCTCAGGCGATCTTTCTGCCTCAGCCTTTCAAGTAGATGGAACTGCAGGCGGGTGCCACCACGCCCGGCTAATTTTTTTATTTATTGTAGAGACGAGGTCTCACCAAGTTGCCCAGGCTGGTCTTGAACCCCTGGACTCAGCCAGTTCTCTCACCTCGGTCTCCCAAAGTGCTGGGATTACAGGTTGAGCCACTGCACCCGCTGGAATTTAATTATTAATAAAGAGGAGTGTCCTGTTCAAAACCTGAAGGTTTTAACAGAGTGTGAGCAGGATTTAGAAATTGGACCTTCAGTATTGTGGAGAAAAGAAATGGGTTTACGGGATCAAAAGTGTTTGGATAGAGTGGACAAATATCTTGGTCTAGCAGTACAGTTCTGGTGTGTATACTAGGCATGCTCTACTCTCCAAAGTATCCTGATTAAGGAATTATATAACCATATGCATTCTCTCATTTGTTGGAGGAGAGGTCAGTTTGAGTTTGCAAATTATAGGATCAAATACTGTATCACTAGGAATCACTTAGTTTTTTGTGTTTTTTTTTTTTTTTTGAGTCAGAGTCAAAAGATGTCTTGGTCCTAGAACTATTCTATAACGTTACCAACCAAATTATCTCAGGTGTAAAAGCTTAGAATGATTGCACAGCTGAAACTTTACTCTAGGGCAGAAATCCAGTGTATACTATCCCAACTTTCCCAGATAAGCATCAAAGTTTTTGAAGTCATGCTCTCTTCAGTATGAATTTTGACCCTCAAGTCATGATCTTAACCAGGCCAGCCTTCAGATTATGACTGAATTTGACCATGTAATGGGGTAGAAACAAGGTGAAGCCTAGGCTATTATGTGATTTTGGGTATTCAAATATTCATGCACAAGTATAGGACCTTATTTGATCTAGAAGAAAAACAGCGTATTTATTATTTATAGGTATGAATAAAATGTCTAGGTTAAAAAGTGTCATAGTTAAAAGACTGAACTAATTTAAATGAACCTGAAAATGGAATTTTTTTTTCTGAGTTGTCTCACTCTGTTGCCCAAGCTGGAGTGCAGTGTCACACTCACGGTCACCGCAGCCTCAGCGTTCTGAGTAGCACTTGCTGGGCTCAGGCCATCCTTCTGCCTCAGCCTTCCGAGTAACTGGAACTACAGGCTTGTGCAACCACTCCCAGCTATAAAATGGAATATTTTAATACTAGCTTTTCATGAATACAGATTTCTCTTGTTGATTAGTTTTATTATTTCAGAACTTTTCTTTAATAATTTTACAGGTAGGAGTGCTTTTTGGTTACATGGCTATATAGTGGTGAAGCAGTCTGAGCTTTAAGTGTACCCATCACCCTTATTAGTACACATTTTACTTGATAGGAAATTTGTCATCCCTCCTCCTCATCTTATCTTCCTCCTGAGTCTTCAGTGTCCATTATACCATTCTATATGCCTTTTACAGACCCTTAGCTTAGTTCCCATTTTTAAATGAGAACATGCAGTACAAAAGACATTATTTTGTTCTTATAACAATAATATTCCATGGTAGATACATACACCACATTTTCATTATCCTCTGCACATTTGGTAGGCATTTAGGTTGATTCTCCTTTTTGCAATTGTGAGTTGTGCTGCAGTGAACATGCAAGTTTGGGTGTCTTTGTACAAAGACCTCTTTCTTTGAATAGATTTCAAATAGATTTAACTGTTGGATCGAATGGTAGATCTACTTTTAGTTCTTTTTGATTTCCATAGAGGTCATACTAATTTACACACCCACCAACATTGTATAAGCATTTCCTTTACGCTGCATCCATGCCAGCATCTGTTGTTTTTGAATAATGACCATTCTGACAGGTTTGAGGTGGTATCTCACTGTGGTTTTAGTTTGCTTTTCTCTGATGATTAGTGATGTTATCTTCTTTTGAGAGATGTCTGTTCATGTCATTTGCTCACTTTTTAATGGGGTTTTGTTTTTTTCTTGCTGATTTGTTTGAGTTCTTTGTAGATTCTTAATGCTCGTCCTTTGGTGGATATATTGTTTGTGAATATCTTCTCCCATTCTGTAGGTTGCCTGTTTGCTTTGTTGATTATTTCTTTTGATGTCCAGAGACTTTTCAGTTTTATTAGGTGTAACTTATTTTTGTTGCTGTTGCATTTGCTTTTGAGGTCTTAGCCATACATTCTTTGCCTAGGCCCATGTCCAGAAAAGTTTGTCCTAGGTTTTCTTCTAGGATTTTTATGGTTTCAGGTCTGATATTTAGGTCTTTAATCCATCTTGAGATCATTTTTTTTTTTTTTTTTTAGTAAGGGTCTCACTCTGTTATCCAGGCTGGGGTGCAGTGGCGAGCTCATTGCCACCACAGCCTCAACCCGCTAGGCTCAGGTGATCTTTCCACCTCAGCCTTCCAAGTAGCTGGAACCATAGGCATGTGCCACCAGCTAATTTTTTGATTTATTGTAGAGGTGAGATCTTGTCAAATTGCCCAGGCTGGCCTCAAATCGCTGGGCTCAGGCAATTCTCTTGCCTCTGCCTTCCAAAGTGCTGGGATTACAGGTGTGAACCATTGTGCCTGACTTGAGTTGATTTTTGTATATGCTGAGAGATAGGGATCTAGTTTCTGTTTTCTTCATATGGCTATCCAGTTTTTTCAGCACCATTAGTTGAATAGGTTGTCCTTTCCCTAGTATATGTTTTAGTTGCTTTGTCAAAGATCAGTTGGTTGTAGGTATATGTGTTTATTTCTGAATTCTCTCTTGTGCTCTGTTGTTCTATGTATCTGTCCTTGTACTTGTACTGTACTATGCTGTTTTGGTTAGTCTAGCCTGGTAGTATAATTTGAAGTCAGGTAATGTGACACCTCAAACTGTTCTTTTTGCTTAGCATTGTGTTTACTATTAGGGCTTTTTTTTTTTTTTTTGGTTCCATATTAATTTTAGGATTTTTTTTCTGATTCTGTGAAAAATAATGTTGGTAGTTTGATAGGGATTGCATTGAATCTGTAGATTACTTTGGGTGGTGTGATCTTTTTAACAATGTTGGTTTTTCCAATCCATGAACATGAGATATTTTGCCATTTGTGTGTGTCCTCTACAATTTCTTTCATCAGTGTTTTGTAGTCCTCCTTTTGGACATCTTTCACCTTCTTGGTTAAATATATTCATAGGTATTTTAACTTTTTGGCAACTGTTATAAATGGGATTGAGTGCTTGATTTGATTCTCAGTTTGGTCACTCTTGGTGTACAGCGGTGCTACTGATTTGTGTGTGTTGATTTTATATCCTGAAACTTTACTGAATTTGTTTATAGTCCAGCAGTCTTTTGGAGTAGTCTTTAAGATTCGCTAGGTTAGGGTTAGGGCGTACAGAGATAGTTTGATTTCTTCTTTTCCCATTTGGATACCCTTTATTTCTTTCTCTTGCCTGATTGCTCTAGCTAGGACTTCCTGAATGTACTTTTAATAAGGGGTTTCCAGGAATGCTGCTTAGTTCAAGATATTTGTCCATTTCCTCTGAATAAGTTAGGGAGTACAGGTGAACAGATTTTATAGGGTTGATTTTGTTTTTAAGATCTCCTGTAACAAGTGATAAGGGCCTCCTGAGACTTTTTATTTATTTTTATTGTATTTACTGATTTTTGAGACAAGGTCTCACTCTGTTGCCCAGGCTGGATGGAGTGGATGGCTCTATTATAGCTCACTGCAGCCTTGAACTCCTGGGCTCAAGCAATTTTTGTGCTTCAGCCTCCTAAATAGCTGGGACTACAGGCATGCACCACCATATTTTTCAATTGTTTGTAGAGATGGGAAGAGGGGTCTCACTATGTTGCTCGGGCTGGTCTTGAACTTCTGACCTCAAGTGATCCTCCTGCCTCAGCTTCCCAAAGTGTTGGAATTACAGGCATGAGCCACCATGCCCGACTGAAACTCTTGTTATCTGGAGGTAAACCTTGTCTCTGGTACAAATTAGAGTCAGGCATTCGGGTTGAGATCTAATGATGATTCAGAGACTTCTGTTCACAGTCTATTATGAACCCTGGACTGGTAAATCTCATTATATATGGCCAACCTAGGGAATTTTAATCTTATTGAACGGAAAAAGCAAGGAACAAAGATTGTGAATGATTTGTTAGATTCTTCCTAGATTTTTCTTTTTCTCTTCGATTGTTTTAGTTTTTCCAACCCTCCTAGTCTCAATCTCCAGAGGTGCCCACTTAAATTTCTTTAGCTACCTAGGTGTTCTTTTATTTCTGTTACAAATAAAAAAAAGAATAAAGCTTCTATAGCTTTTTCTTTTGATTTTTATTTACTGAAAATGAAGATTTAGCATTTTTTTTACCCTTTCTCATTTTTCACATATAAAAATTGTGATATATAATAACACATCTAATAACATAAAATATATAAGTAAATATACTCTGTAATAAATTTTATATTTGGATATCACAGTTTTTGTTTGAATTAGTATAGTCAATATTTGCATTATTGTAATAAGCAGATAGATAACTATGATTAAATTTCCTTTTCTATAATACCTGTTGAGTTTTTTTCCTGTAGTTTAGTAATTTTCTTTTATTTTTAGCTAGCTGGTTTTCTGTATTTCTGTAATTATTTCTGCTCTGTTGACAGAACTTATCTCTGTGGTCAAATAAATCAGATAATCCACCAGTTAATTTTTTTTTTCTTGGATATAGTCTTGAAATCCTCCACCCTCCTGCTCTAATTTGAGCTGTTACATTCCCTTTACTCTCCTTTGGAGAATTTTACTGTGTTTCTGTCCTGCATCAGATCTCCCTTTTTCTGGATCCCAGATTTTCTTTTTCTTTTTTGATACTCTATGTGGCTAAAAATGTTTTATTCTCTTTTGCATTGATAGTATGCCTGGGTACATAATTATAGCTTGAGAGTGTTTCCCTCAGAGCTTTGAAGGTGTTAGTCCTTGTCTTGTACTATGGAGAAGTTCAAAGCCGTTTTGATTTCCAGCCCCTTGTTTATAATGTTGTCCCCTTTGGAATATTTTATAAGCTTCTTTTTCCTGATATTCTGAAATTCATCATAATACACCTTGATATGTATCTTTTTTACTGTGCTTTGTACTCGTTAGGTCCTTGCAGTTTTGAAGACTTGTCTTTCAGTCCTAGACATTTTCTTGTTTTATTTATTTGGTGATATCCTCTGTTATTTTATCTGTTCTCCCTGGGCCGTCTGATAAAATGTTGGATGTCGAATTACGTGGTTTGATTCTCTTCTATTTTCTCTCCTGTTGTCCTTTCTTCTTCCTGTCCACTAGTAGCTTTTTCTTTTTGTTCTTTCTTTTTTTTTTTTAATAATTAATCAGTATTTTTTATTATGGTTTTGTGGGGTACAGTTAAGGGTTAGGTGTACAATTACGTTTCATTCAGGCACCATGTTGATAAGAGGTGTTTTCCCAGCCCCAGACAGATATTTGCTACTGTTAATCCCATCCCCCTCCCCCCCCTTTGGTTCTTTCTAATAAATTTTCTGAAAGTTATCTTTTAACTTCTGCTGGATAGTTCTGCTTTCAATTTTGTAATTTCCAAGAGCTCTTTCTTTCTTTTTTTTTGAGTTGAAGTTTCACTCTGTCACCCAGGCTGGAGTGCAGTGGCATGCTCATGGCTGCCGCAACCTTGACCTGCTGGGTTCAGGCGATCCTTCTGCCTCAGCCTTCCAAGTAGCTGAAACTACAGGTGCGTGCTACCACATCTGGCTAATTTTTTGATTTATTTTGGAGACAGGGTCTCACCAAGTTGCCCAGGCTGGTCTCGAGCCTCCGGACTCAGGCAATCCTCTCGCCTCGGCCTCCCAAAGTGCTGGGATTATAGGCTTGAACCACTGTGCCCGGCCTGAGCTCTTTCTTTTTATTTATTTATTTATTTATTTATTTTAGTTGGAGTCTCACTCTGTCACCCAGACTGGAGTGCAGTAGCTGTTCCCGGCCACTGCAGCCTCGACCTGCTGGGCTCCGGCGATCCTTCCACCTCAGCCTTCCAAGTAACTGGAACTACAGACGCGCGCTACCATGCCCGGCTAATTTTTTATTTATTGTAGAGATGAGGTCTTGCCAAGTTGCCCAGGCGGGTCTCGAACCTGCGGGCTCAGGCAATCCACTCACCTCAGCCTCCCAAAGTGCTGGGATTACAGGCTGAGCCACCGAGCCCAGCTAGCTCTTTCTTTTTAAGCAGTGAATTCTTGTTTTGAATAGTCAGTGTCCTTTCATTAATCAGATTTTTCTTTTTTTGAGTGTTCATTAGTTTCTGGCATTGTTTCTGTTTATTCCCAGTTTTTAATTTCTTCTGGTGATCTGCAGATGTCTGTTTTAACTGAGAGGTACTAGAAGTATCTCATAGGTCTAACAGTGTGGAGGGGGCCTCTCGATTAGGCAGTTCACTTGTAGGTTGGTCAGGTAGCTAGTTTGACTTTTCCTTGGTGAACTCCCAAATGTTACTGTAAGTTCTCTTATTACTATGTTACATAATTTCTCTCTGTTTTTTCCCGTAGAAGAGTCTTTTTTTTTTTTTTTGAGTCAGACTCTCACTCTGTTGCCCAGACTGGAGGGCAGTGGCACACTCATGGTCACCAGCAGCCAAGTCCTGCTGGGCTCAGGCATTCCTTCTGCCTCAGCCTTCCAAGTAACTGGAATTACAGGCATGTGCCACCGCGCCTGGCTAATTTTTTGATTTATTGTAGAGATAAGGTCTTGCCAAGTTGCCTAGGTTAGTCTGGAACCCGTGGGCTCAGGCTGTCCTTTCATCTAGGCCTCCCAAAGTGCTGGGATTATAGGCATGAGCCATTGTGCCTGACAAGAGTCTTCTAATTGCTTTCTTTGAGAAAGTGGGCTGAGGGGCTTTCTTTTTCTTTTTTTGAGTTGGAGTTTCACTGTGTCAACCAGACGAGTGCAGTGGCTGCTCCCGGCCACTGCAGCCTCGACCTGCTGGGCTCCGGCGATCTTTCTGCCTCAGCCTTCCAAGTAGCTGGAACTACAGGTGTGCGCTACCACACCCGGCTAATTTTTGATTTATTGTAGAGATGAGGTTGCCCAGGTGGGTCTCGAACCCGCGGGCTCAGGCAATCCACTCACCTCGGCCTCCCAAAGTTGGGATTACAGGCTGAGCGACCGAGCCCGGCAGGTTTTATTTTTCTTTGTTGACTTTACTTAATAATTGTTTTCAATACTTGTTACCTTACCCTACCCTTTGCAAGACTATAGCCTCCCTGCATCAGTCATTGAAAATAATAAATATCTAATCTGCTTGAGTCAGTGCAGGGTTCTGATTGCTTTGTACAATTTTCTCCCATTCCTATGAAAACAGAGCCCTCTTTTATTGGAAGTCTTTTATGTAGATGGCATAGAATTTGAGGAGAATTCCACAATTTTATACATTGTTTGGCACACAAATTCCTTCCCTTTTTTGATCAGATCTTTAAGATCCAAATCCTAGGATTCAGGTTGTCATATAATGGCTTATACCTTTGTGTATATTGGGTTGAGAATAAATGTCAGAATCTGGGATTTCATAGTATGTCTCCATCGAATGATTTCTGTTTTATTATCAGAGCACGTGGTGATAACTTGATTTTCTTTCTTTTTTTTTTTTTTTGAGTCAGAGTTTCACTGTCACCCAGGCTGAAGTGCAGTGACACACTCATGGCCACTGCAGCATTGACTTGCTGGACTTGGTGATCCTTCTACCTCAGCCTTCCAAGTAGCTGGAACCACAGGAGCATGCCACCACGCCCAGCTAAATTTTTTGATTTATTGTAGAGACGAGGTCTCGCCAGGTTGCCCAGACTGGTCTCAAACCACTGGACTCAGGCAGTCCTCTTACCTTGGCCTCCCAAGTGCTGGGATTACAGACTTGAGCCACTGTGCCTAGCCGATAACTTGATTTTCTAAAAGATTTGTTGATATGAGAGTAAATTTTTTAGGATAAATTTGTCAGAAAAGTAGAAATGTGCATATGTTTTGCTGTTTGAATAATATGGTTAATATAGATTTAGAATTATTAGTATGTGTTTTTGTTACCTTCAGTGGAACTTGAGACCTGTTTAAAATTCCTAGAAATAATATGGTAAATGAAATTTGTAACTTGGTAACTAATTGCTTTAAATAGTAGAGAATAGTTAATCAAAGAGTTCAATATCTTCCAACTATAATAACTAGGTATTATCTTTTAAAATTATTCTAGGTAGAAGAATACATGTTCACTTTCAGAGACCAAGAGCATGTTCCCAAACTCAATTTTGGGTCGCCCACCCTTCACTCCAAATCATCAACAGCATAGTAACTTCTTCACCCTGTCACCAACTCTTTATTCACACCAGCAGCTTATAGATGCGCAGTTCAACTTTCAAAATGCAGAGTAAGTATACTGATATTTTGGCCCATTTTATTTTCTATTTGACATTAACCCTTTTTGTATGAAATGTTTGAAGATAGATAAAATGTCATCATTTGTTTTCTTTTGATCGGTGAAGTATCTGAATTCTGAATTTTTCAGAAATTGGCTTTCATTTTTAAGGATAAAATATGTAAATTAGTAACTGTTCTTTTCTTTGTTTTTAATAGCTTGTCTAGAGCTGTGTCATTACAGCAGCTGACATATGGAAATGTCAGTCCATTACAGACCTCAACTTCCCCATTGTTTCGAGGAAGGAAGTAAGTACTTCTCAATTATTTTAAAGGAAGATTTTCCATTTCTGAGAATTGTATTTTGTATTAAAATTGTATGGGCACTATGTCCAAAATTTTATTTTCTGAACCCTGTACAATCAGATCAGACACAGAGTTTTAAAATTTTTATGTGATTTAAAAATTTTACAGTTTTTCTTATTGATGTATTCCTGCCATTATAAGTTTTAGGTGAAATAAAGCTACATTACTTCAGAAAACCACCTTTTAGTTGTGATTTTTAACTAAATCTGTCTGTATTCATTTGCTAGAGTTGCCTTAACAAAGTACAGACTGGATAGCTTAAACAATAGAAATTTATTTTTTCATGATTCTGGAGGCTGGAAATTCAAGATCAAGGTGTTGGTTTCTTCTGAGGCGTCTTTCCTTGGCTTGCCAATGGCCACCTTCTCCCTGTGTCTTCATATGGTGGTTCTTCTGTGTGTGTTTTCTGTGTCCTCATTTTTTCTAAGTACGCCAGCCATATTGGATTAGAGCTCATCTTAAGGACCCCATTTTAACTTAATTACCTTTTAATAGGCCCTATCTTCAAATACAGTCATATTCTGCTATACTAGGATTAAGGATTTCAGCATTTGTATTTCTAAGAGGCACAATAACAACATTTTCTTTTTAATGAACTGCTATATGTTTCCCTTTTGACTTATCTATGTCTCACATAGATGAGGTTTTATGAAAACAAATAATGCAATAAAAATTTCTGTGTAACATAAAGCTTTCTATAGTCAAGTCAGGAGTCAGTTAATTCTAACCTATTTGATTAAAAGAAATCCATATATCACAAAATAACTTATAGACTTGAGAGGTGGTTATTAAAATAACTTTTAGCAATATTTGTTTGAGTTGGAGTCTCACTCTGTTGCCCAGGCTGGAGTACAGTGGCATATTCCCGGCCACTGCAGCCTTAGCCTGCTAGTCTCAGGCAATCATTCTGCCTCAGCCTTCCTAGTAGCTGAAACTACAGGCACACGCCACCATGTCCGGCTAATATTTTGGTTTATTGTAGAGATGAGGTCTTGCCAAGTTGCCCAGGCTGGTCTCAAACTCACGGGCTCAGGGGATACTTTCACTTCAGCCTCCCGAAGTGCTGGGATTATAGGTATGAGCCACTGTGCCCGGCCTACATTTAGCAATATTCAAATTCAATATTCAAAATTAAATATTCAAAACATTCAAAGCTACTGTTATTACTTAAAAACCTATATAAGCATTTTATAACTTTTATGTTCAATTAAAAAGAACACTTTTGTTGAGCAAGGTGCTGTAAAGTAAAGAAACACTACACTAGCTAAGAATTATTAATCACACACTGTGTAGTAGGCATTGTTCTAAGGACTTTATAAGTAATGGTTTGATTAATTTACATAGCAGTTTGAGGCAGATACTGTTATCCCTCTTCTGTAGAGAAGAAAGCTGAAGCACAGAGGTATCGTTATTCAGGTGAAAGTGGCATGGCTGGGATTTGACATCTAGCAGTCTGCGTCTAGATCATGTGCTTCTGAAAAGCCTACAGATAGTCCTTCAGAATTGTCAGTGGGAAAAGTTTTATAGTGAGTCTATATACTTCCTTTTTTTTTTGAGTTGGAGTCCCACTCTGTCACCCCCGACTGGAGTGCAGTGACCGCTCCTGGCCCATTTTGATTTATTGTAGAGATGAGGTCTCGCCAAGTTGCCAAGGCGGGTCTCGAACCTGCGGGCTCAGGCAATTCACTCACCTCAGCCTCCCAAAGGTGCGGGATTACAGGCTGAGCCACCGAGCCCAGCTGAGTCTACATACTTTATTCATATTTCATTATGCCTTGATAGCCAGTTTGTGAATCACAAATGAGAATAAGTTCAAAGTTACACAAATTTTTTTTTTTTGTTGTTGTTTTTTTAAGTTGAAGTCCCACTCTTGTCATCCAGGCTGGAGTGCAGTGGTATGATCACGACTCACAGCAGTCTTAACCTCCTGGGGCTTAGGCAATCTTTCCGCCTCATCCTCCCAAATAGCTGAGACTATAGATGTGAGCCACCATGCCTGGCTAATTTTTATTTTTTTTAATTTTATTTATTTATTTATTTTTTTTGAGTTGGAGTCTCATTCTGTCACCCAGACTGGAGTGCAGTGGCCGCTCCCGGCCACCGCAGCCTCGACCTGCTGGGCTCCGGCTATCCTTCCGCCTCAGCCTTCCGAGTAGCCGGAATTACAGGCACGCGCTACCACGCCTGGCTGATTTTTTGATTTATTGTAGAGTTGAGGTCTCGCTGCCCAGGCGGGTCTCGAACCCGCAGGCTCAGGCAATCCACTCACCTCAGCCTCCCAAAGGGGCGGGATTACAGGCTGAGCCACCGAGCCCGGCTTAATTTTTATTTTTTATAGAGATGAAGTCTCACTATATTGCCTAGGCTGTTCTCAAACTCTTGAGCTCAAGCAGTCCTCCTGCCTCAGCCTCCCAAAGTGCTGGGATTATAGACATGAGCCACTGTATTTGACCTAAATATACTTAATGCATTTAACACTGTACACTTTTACTTTGAATGGAAGTTTCAATTATTTTGTGGATCTGCCAGGGAGAGAAGAGTCGGCATAATCCCAAAGGAATATAATAAAAACCTTCAGGTGGCTATCACTCATAGAATTTTAGAGCTTAAAAGGAATTGCATCATTTTCTATGGCATAAAGTATATTAATGAAATAATATATTTTTTCTCAACAAATATTTACTCTTTAATTATTTTTTTCGTTGATTTTTTATTTTGAAAAATTTTTAACCTCCAGTAAAATTTATAGAATAATACAATGAACATCTGAATATGTTTTGCTTAGATGCATCTTTTTTTTTTTTTTTTTTAGTTGGAGTCTCACTCTGTTGCCCAGGCTGGAGCGCAGTGGCACGCTTATGGCCACCACAGCCTCGACCTACTGGGTTCAGGTGATCCTTCCACCTCAGCCTTCCAAGTAGCTGGAACTACAGGCATGCGCTACCATGCCCAGCTAATTTTTTGATTTATTGTAGAGATGAGGTCTCACCAAGTCGCCCAGGCTGACTCTGAACCCATGGGCTCAGGAAATCCTCTCATTTCTGCCTCCCAGAGTGCTGGGATTATAGTCTTGAGCCACTGCGCCTGGCCTTAGATGCATCAGTTAGAGTTTTGCTACATTTTGATTCTTTCTGGCTTTTCCTCTTCTTATCCCCGTACTTTTTCCCTGAACCTTATAAAAGAAAATTACTGACATCATTTTACTCTACCCCAAAATATGTCAGCTTATTCCTTCTAAAAACAAGGATGTTCTCCTAATAACCAAAATATACTGATTATGCCTGAGAAATTTAAGGTTAATATAATACTGTTATCTGAGATGCAGCTCATTATCATGTCACCTCAATTATCCAGTATCTTTATAAGTTTTTAAGAAAGGCATGGGTGTGGTGACTCACGTTTGTAATCCCAGCATTTTGGGAGTCTGAGGCAGGAAAAAAAAATTTAACCAGGTGTGCCTATAATCTCAGCTGCTCTGGAGGCTGAGGTAAAAGGATTGCCTGAGCCCAGGAGTTGGAGGCTGTGGTGAGCCATGATTGTGCCACTGCACTCCAGCATGGGCAACAGAGTGATACTCTGACTCAAAAAAAAAAAAAACTTTTAAGAAAGTGCGTCTTATTTGATCTTATCTACTGATGAGCCAGTACACAGGTATATTCAAAGATCCTTTTTTTATATATAACACTCAACTTTCTTAATCTTATCCTCTTTATGTTATAGTTTGCATCTTTATTCTTAGTAATTCTATAAGTAGCTGAGATGAGACAGTGGGGTAGTTCAATGCAGGAGACTATCCCCAATGTATACGTGTAGTTTATTTTTTCTATATGCATTATTACTCATTTTTTAAAAGGTGTTGAGGGGCATTTCTTATGCTGAATATGAATATTTTAAAGATCCATATAGAGCTAATAATGTGGCCTTATTGAAAGAGTCATAATATTGTGATATGTTATAGTATTTATATATTTTTAATTGTTTTCTATTATAAAAAAGTTGTATCTTTAATACTAAGGTATATTACTTGTTTTCAGGAGATTAAGCGATGAAAAAATCCTTCCTCTTGACGGTAAACGGCAACGTTTCCATTCACCTCACCAAGAAGCAACAGTAGTTAACCAGATAGTGCCTTTATCAGGTGAACGAAGATACTCAATGCCGCCATTGTTTCATACACACTATGTACCAGATATAGTCAGATGTGTTCCACCTTTTCGAGAAATATCATTTTTAGAGCCTAGAGAAATCACACTGCCTGAGGCCAAAGATAAGGTAATAATAATGTAGATTTTAGTTTTGCCTTTTGGGTACTTAATATAAATAATTTATTAAAAGAATGAAATATTTAATGTCCTGGAATAAGTAGAACATGCCTTTTTTTGCAGTGTTTTAAGTACTGTTCAACCTAAGTTTTGGTGTATTACTTTGATTATTATAGCTATTTTTTTAAAAACAGAAGTAAGCCGGGCTCGGTGGCTCAGCCTGTAATCCCGTGCCTTTGGGAGGCTGAGGTGAGTGAATTCCCTGAGCCCGTGGGTTTGAGACCCGCCTGGGCAGCAAGACCTCATCTCTACAATAAATCAAAAAATCAGCCGGGTGTGGTAGCGCGTGCCTGTAATTCCGGCTACTCGGAAGGCTGAGGCGGAAGGATCGCTGGAGCCCAGCAGGTTGAGGCTGCGGTGGCCGGGAGCGGCCACTGCACTCCAGTCTGGGTGACAGAGTGAGACTCCAACTCAAAAAAAAAAAAAATAAAAATAGAAGTACAGCTATCAGGAAATCAGATTTTCCCTGATTCATAAAAATTTGGGATGGAGCCCAAAATATTTGATTTCTTAAAGAACTGTCATGTTATTTGTTCTTATTGCAAAAAAAAAAAAAAAAGTTTTCTGTGGTTACTGTATTACAGTGTTAGAAAGCACTTTCTTTTTTTTTTTTTGAGTTGGAGTCTCACTCTGTCGCCCAGACTGGAGTGCAGTGGCCGCTCCTGGCCACCGCAGCCTCCACCTGCTGGGCTCCGGTGATCCTTCTGCCTCAGCCTTCCGAGTAGCCGGAATTACAGGCATGCGCTACCACACCCGGCTGATTTTTTGATTTATTGTAGAGATGAGTTCTCGCTGCCCCGGCCGGTCTCGAACCCGCGGGCTCAGGCAATCCACTCACCTCAGCCTCCCAAAGGCGCGGGATTACAGGCTGAGCCACCGAGCCCGGCTAGAAAGCACTTTCTTTTGGGATATTTATGTTTATCATGAAGTTTCAAATTTAGAAAATAGAGAATCCAGGAGTTAGTGAGGGAGTAATACTTTATTTTATTTTATTTTATTTTTGAGTTGGAGTCTTACTCTGTCACCTAGACTGGAGTGCAGTGGCACACTCACGGCCACCCCAGCGTCGACCTGCTGGGCTCTGGCGATACTTTTGCCTCAGCCTTCCAAGTAGCCAGAACTATAGGTGCGCCCTACCACACTCAGCTAATTTTTTTGATTTATTGTAGAGATGAGGTCTTGCCAAATTGCCAAGGCTAGTCTTGAATCCATGGGCTCAGGCAATCCTCTCTCCTTGGCCTCCCAAAGTACTGGAATTAACAGGCTGAGCCACCGCGCCCAGCCAAGTAATACTTTCAAAGTGATAGGATCAAGGAAGATTTATCAAAAATATTTTTTATTAAAAAATTTCAAATAAATGAAACTATTTTATTAATAATAATTAGAAAATGATTTGTTAGCCTTGGGCAACAGTGAGTTGTTTAACATCTAATATGAGAAACATATTTCTCCCTTTCCCCATGTTTAGTGCAACCTAACAAAAAAACCTTCTAGGTAATTGAGATGTAAAATATCTACATTTTGTTGGATTATCTATGGTTTACACTTGCAATTTCTATATTTTCAAAGCCTCTCTACTCTTGAGAAGTAAGACATTTTTGTAGACTAAGGAGAATAGCCCTAGGAGTGTATAGTCACTTTGTTTTACTTGTCTTTGGGTTCCTGTCAACCAGTGTATGTCTGGAGCATCATAAGTGTACAGAAAATGTTGAGTCAGGAAAATAACACCTACTTCATTCCTTAGTAGGGCTGCTTTTTATTCCTCTATTATTTTTTTTGTTCTTAAGTTACAATTGAATCATAAAATTCACCCTTTTATTTATTTATTTATTTATTTATTTATTTTTTGAGTTGGAGTCTCACTCTGTCACCCAGACTGGAGTGCAGTGGCCGCTCCCGGCCACCGCAGCCTCGACCTGCTGGGCTCCGGTGATCCTTCTGCCTCAGCTTTCCAAGTAGCCGGAATTACAGGCATGCGCTACCATGCCCGGCTGATTTTTTTTTTTTTTTTTTTTTTTAATTGTAGAGATGAGGTCTCGCTGCCCAGGCGGGTCTCGAACCCGCGGGCTCAGGCAATCCACTCGCCTCAGCCTCCCAAAGGGATGGGATTACAGGCTGAGCCACCGAGCCCGGCTAATTCACTCTTTTAAAGTGTACATTTCAGTAGTCTTTAGTATCTACACTATCACCACTAATTCCAAAACTTCACCATCCTCAAAAGAAACCTTGCATCCAATAGCAGTCACTTTCGTATACTCCTCACTCTTGCCTCCATGACCCTAGGCAATAGTGACTCTATTTTCTGTCTTTGTGAATTTACCTATTCTGGTGTGTATGTGTTGCTGTGTGTGTGTGTGTGTGTGTGTGTGTGTGTGTGTGTGTGTGTGTGTGTGTGTTTGTTTGTGTGTGTGTATCTGCTTGTGTGTTTTGCTGCTTTCATTTAGCTTAGTTTTCAAGGATCAGGACTTCATTCCTTTTTATAGCTGAATAATCATCCATTGTATTGATATACCACATTTTTTTGTTTTTTTTTTGAGTTGGAGTTTCACTCCGTCGCCCAGACTGGAGTGCAGTGACCGCTCCCAGCCACTGCAGCCTCCACCCACTGGGCTTCGGCGATCCTTCTGCCTCAGCCTTCCGAGTAGCCAGAATTATAGGCACGTGCTACTACGCCTGGCTGATTTTTGATTTATTGTAGAGATGAGTTCTTGCCAAGTTGCCCAGGTGGGTCTCGAACCCACGGGCTCAGGCAGTCCACTCACCTCAGCCTCCCAAAGGCGCGGGATTACAGGCTGAGCTACCGAGCCTGGCCAATATACCACATTTTGTTACTACATTCCTAAATTGCTGGACTTCAGAGTTGTTTCTACTTTTTGCCTATTTTTTTTTGTTTGTGAGTTGGAGTCTCACTCTTGCGCCCAGGATGGAGTGCAGTGGCTTGCTCACGGCCACTGCAGCCTGAACCTCCTGGGCTCAAGCGATCCTTCTGCTTCAGCCTTCCAAGTAGCTGGAACTATAGGCGTGTACCATGACACCCAACTAATTTTTTGATTTGTCATAGAGATGAGTTCTTACCAAGTTTCCCAGACTGGTCTCGAATCCCTGAGCTCAGGCAATCCTCTCGCCTTGGCCTCCCGAAGTGCTGGAATTACAGGCTTGAGCCACTGCGCCCGGCCTTACCTTTTGCCTATTATAAATAATATGGGTATGACTTTCTGCGTACAGATTTTTCCATGGACATATGTTTTCACTTCTCTTAGGTATATGCCTAGAAGTGAAATTGCTGGGTCAGATAGTCACTCTGTGTTTAACTTTTTGATGAACTGCCAAAGTGTTTTCTAAAGCGACTGCACCATGTTACATTCCCATTAGCAATATATGCGTGTTGCAGTTTCTTTATATCCTTGCTGACACTTGTAATACTTGTTATTTATGTCTTTTTGTTCACAGCCATTTTAGTGGGTGTGAAATGGTATCTCATTGTGATTTTTATTTGCATTTTCCCGACTAATGATGTAGAACATCTTTTTATCTGCTAGTTGAACTTTTGTGTATCCTCTTTGTAGAAATGTCTGTTCAAATCCTTTACCTGTTTCTTTTTTTTTTTTTGAGTTGGAGTCTCACTCTGTCGCCCAGACTGGAGTGCAGTGGCTGCTCCCGGCCACCGCAGCCTTGACCTGCTGGGCTCTGGGGATCCTTCCGCCTCAGCCTTCCGAGTAGCCGGAATTACAGGCACGCGCTACCACGCCCGGCTAATTTTTTTGGATTTATTGTAGAGATGATGTCTCGCCTGCCCAGGTGGGTCTTGAACCCGTGGGCTCGGGCAATCCACTTACCTCAGCCTCCCAAAGGCGCGGGATTACAGGCTGAGCCACCGAGCTTGGCTACCTGTTTCTTAATTGGGTTTTTTAAAAAAATTGTTGATCTGTAAGAGTTCTTTATATATTCTAAATATTAGACCCTTATCAGATAATGATTTATAAATAAATACTTCCATTCCATGAGTTGTCTTTTGACTTTCTTGTTGGTATCATTTGAAGCACAGAATCTTTTCATTTTGAGGCAGTTCAGTTTATCTATTTTTATTTGGTTGTTTGTGCTTTTGGCGTCATAGCTAAGAGACTGTTGTTCAATCCAAGGTTACCAAGATTAAGACCTATATGTAGATTTGAGAGTTTTATGGTTTTAGGTCTTACATTTAGGCCTTTGCTTCATTTTAACTTAATTTTGTGTATGGTATAAAGCATTATTTATTTATTTTGAGTTGGGATCTCACTCTGTGGCCCAGCATGGAGTCCAGTGGCCCTGCAGCCTCAAACTCCTGGGTTCAGGTGATCCTTCTGCCTCAACCTCCTGAGTAATTGTTACTACAGGCACCCCCCACTGTGCCTGGCTAATTTTTATTTTTTTATTTTTTTTGAGTTGGAGTTTCACTCTGTCACCCATACTGGAGTTCAGTGGCCGCTTCTGGCCACTGCAGCCTCGACTTACTGGGCTCCGGCGATCCTTCCGCCTCAGCTTTCCAAGTAGCCGGAATTACAGGCATGCGCCACCACACCCGGCTGATTTTTTGATTTATTGTAGAGATGAGGTCTCGCTGCCCAGGCGGGTCTCGAACCCGCAGGCTCAGGCAATCCACTCACCTCAGTCTCCCAAAGGCGTGGGATTACAGGCTGAGCCACCGAGCCCGGCTCCTGGCTAATTTTTAAAATGTTTTTGTAGAGACAGAGTCTCACTATGTTGCCCAGGTTGGTCTCGAACTCCTTGACTTAAGCAATCATTTCTCCTTGGCTTCCCAAAGTACTGGGATTGTAGTCATGAGCCACCACACCCAGCCAGTCCAACTTTATTCTTTTGCTGTTGGTTCAGTTGTCCAGCACAGTTTATTGTAAAGATTATTCTTTTTCTCTCCGTAATTCTTTTTTAAAAAAATTCTTAAAATAGGAAATA